CCTCAAGCTCAGCCCCATCGAGCGAGGATGGACCGGAGCCAAGTTGGGCGGACGTATGCTCGGCCCTCCAGACCCGATTGGGGAAGGTAAGTTAAGTTGTGTAACATTGTACAAAGTCCAAAACAAATGATTTAGTCGTGGCATAGGGCCTAATATAACAAAATTGAGCTTATCATATTGGTTAACAAATAAGACACATAGTTGAATCCAGTCAGTTGAATAGGGGTGTCATCCTCTCTTGGGAAAATGTTAACCTTCCTAACTGTAAACATGCATTTAGGAAACCTGAAGGCATAACGTAAAACACAATTCGAGCCTGGTCATGCCTAATCATACTTCACATTGTTTAAATTTTTTCACATATCACCCCAAAGGGGGGAATCTATAGCCCCCCCACCCCCACCATATCCCTCCGTTGATCCGCCCATGATAACATGTCAATGTATGAAATTTCAATATCTTGACTTTAATTAAATTTACATTTCCTAATGGAAAAACATGGGGGGAAACTACTACAGTATTAACAATTTTTTTAGAGATCTGTCATTCTTGATGAAATCCTTAACAGAATAGGGACAAAATTCCGCCAAGTATATTTCTAAGCTATTATATTCCTTAGGCTATTCTAAGTTTTGTAAGAGCAAACATTTTTAGCCTACTGTATCTCTGTCTTGAGTTAGCTTATTAAAATGTTTCCAACTGGTTTGCATTTTGTATTATATAACGGTTTTGTTTGAGGGGTTTTATACTGATTAATTTTTTATTTTTCTATTTTACAGATAAGTTTGAAGGATTCAATTCAGTGGTTGTTGAGGTAAGTGTTTAAATAGTTCTTAAATTCAGTGCCTTAACTTAAAATATGAAAGGTTTTGAATGTTTTGATATTGCAGTTTAAGTACGCATCTTTATATCACATCAACCATCGCCCATAGTACCAAGAGCTATGGGAGAAAGAGTATTTTATTCTGAAGCGTACTCGGTGTGTAGCTCATTAAAAAACATTCTTTTTTAACCCAAAATTGGCTACATCTGGTCCGAATGTATTATTTATTAATTTTTTTTAATATACTGCCTCTTTTAATTAAGCCTCTAGCCTTTGCCTGGAACGAATCCAGTGAACAGGATGTCTACCAGTCAGGATTTCTGGGAAAGTCAGGAAAAAGTCAGGGATTTTTAAAGGTCGGGAATAATCTGACCCTTCAAAATTAGGTATGAATAGGTACCAAAAATTTTCAGAGTTTGTGTGTTCCCGATCATTGGGAAATGGATTACATTTAATACAGGATTTCCTCGGCACGTGATTCGTTCTGATCGTTGAAGATTTTGCTGTGTCGGGAGTGACAGTGATGACGTTTCCGCGATCGCGAATTGCGGCTGACGATTATGATGTCTCGACGGTCGAGAAAGATTTTCACAATGATTTCGCGAACCCTGGAGACAATGATGATATCTCCGGGATCGTGGAGATCTACAAGCTTGCACCGTGACCACGACACAAGTCGAAGATGGTCGAAGATGGTGTCGCGAACGCAAAACATGTTAAAGATGGTGCCGTGACCGTGGGACATGTTGACGATGGTGTTGTGACTGTGGGACATGTTACGATAGTGTCGTGACCGTGGACATTTTGACGTTGGTGCTGTGACTGCGAGACAGAAAAAGGTGTAGTTACATGGAGAATAGACCGAGTTTTTGGTTGGGGTTTTTTTATGGCTAATGAAAAGTCGGGAATTTAAATTGAGAAATCTGGTAGACACCCTGACCGAAGCAAGGAGTGAGCCGATTCAGTACAAGAGTGAACGCTTTGAATTATTGTTGATACCTTGGCACAAACCGACGACATTGCTATCTTGGATTCGTAGCTCGTCCTGCTACAGTAGACTCCCTCTCATCCAGACTCCAGAGGCCAGTCCGGATAACGGGTTTTCCGGTTAAACCGACGTCCCCAAAAACTCATTAAAACGTTAAAATGCTTAAATTTAGAAGAGCATTGTACGTGGCCACTGGTCTCAAATCTTTCCTTCGAGAACAGTCGTTTCAGTACCGCCCACTTCCTGCCGATCAAGTCCGGTTAAACCAATGTTCTGATAAAAATTGTCCGGTTAAAGAGATGTCATTTCCGCCGGGTGTAGTCAGGTTAAACCGATGTCCGGTCAAAAGGTCCGGATAAGAGGGAGTCTACTGTATTGTTGAACAAATATAATGTTATATTCATGAATACAATGTTTCCACAGTACAAACAAGTATTCCACATGACCGGTAACCTGGGCCGCAAGAGGCAAGTGAGTGCGTTTGTGGTGACGGGCAACGGCGAGGGACTGGCAGGGTTCGCCCGAGGCAAGGCAGTGGAGGGGAGAGTAGCTCTTGTCACGGCCAAGAACAGAGCTGGGCAGAAACTCATGTACATAGAGCGCTACAACGACCACACTGGTAAATCTCTCGTTACTTAGTCTGATGCTTTATGTGTACTTGTTCTATTAAGACCACTGATAGAACTTACTTCAATCCACATTACTAGTGGATGTAGAACCTTAGGTGTCGCATGAGTAAAGTTAAGGACAGTAATCATTGCTGACAGATAAAGTCTTCAACAGACTTCTGTTTGTGTGTAATTCGTCATTGAACTTGCTGAAAAGGTCCACCATCTGGCTCATAGTTTGTACGTGAGTGAATGAGAAATATGGAAATATTTGACAAGTTCTGTCTTACAGAATTGTTATTATTTCAGCGATCAAATTAATTATCAATTATTTAAGATAGGAACGCCACTATGTGCGCATTTTAACCCAAATATGAGCGAAGGATGAATGTAGGATGAGTGGCGCGATCTTGTAGTCTTGTTAGTGTCTAAGGCCTATGTCTATGGTTTCTCCCACAAAATTCCTACTAAAAATCAAAATAAATATTTAGGCCAAAAACGACCTCAGATAACAAGAGGTCTCGGATAATTGGGAGTTTACTGTAGAGATGTTCACCTTTTCAGTTGTTCAACGATTCAATGGGTTTTTTTTTGTATACACAACCCTTTAAAGCTCCAACATCCAATATCGAGTGAAAGGCTAACATAACAAAACTTCCACTTACAACTATTCGAGTTTAATGAACTGAACAAAAACAGCTTAAAGCAATCTCTGGCATGATATCTATATGTATCTGACCACTTAATGCACTTTGTGGTTTTGAGCACTTTATAAATTCAACAAGTTATGAAAAACCTGGTATGCATGCCTTTATTGGAAAAGATTTGATAACGATAATCTAATTTACAAATTTATCTATCTTAATAGTTATAAACCCTAACAAATTATAAATGTTTCAGTTATGCACGACTTCTTCGCACAGTTCGGCAGCACCAAAATCTTTGTCAAGAAGGTGCCAGAAGGGTATGGTCTCAAATGCCATCGAGCTATAAAAAGCATGTGTCAGGTGATCGGCATCAAAGATATTCACGCTAAGGTAGAGGGTGCCATCAACATTCAGAATATCACCAAAGCTTTCTTCTTGGGTCTACTTCAGCAGAAAACCCATGAACAGCTGGCCGAGGAGACGGGTTATCACCTGGTAGAGTTCCGTGAGGAGAACGGAGAACTACCCATTGTCTTAGCCTCGCCTCAAGAGCCCAAGCAAGATAGTACAGATCCTCCGGATTTTGACCAGGTAAAAGTTGAGTTAACCTTCAGCGTAAATTTTTGGTGACTGAATCTTAAAGTTAACAAACCAAAATGAAAAAATCTAGAATGAAATTGCTATTAAGATAGTGGTCCAGTAAATGATCTTGTCTAGCTGAAGTGACTACAGCTTTTTCATTATGAGAACTCAGGTGCAAAATGTCATGCTGTATCCTGTACCTCCTTATGACGACTTCAACTTTGTTTATAGACCTGACGATGTGCCTCTTGTGTACAAAACAGCTGTATTCAACACAACTAAATCTTTTGACTGAAGCTGAGGTAAAATAAACCTAAAATCTGCGTAGGTGTCACCTGATAAAACTTTCCTCCATTTTTTCAATGCAAAATAAGTTATCAACATTCATAAGAAGTCAACCTTCAATAGACAATTGAAAAAGTAATTCCCTATTTTGATATTAGGACCTATAAAAATTCAGTTAGGCCTACTGTATCCAACTTTAACAAGTACATCTAGTTCCAAGAAAGTTTTATGAGTCTCAAGTATTACATGTGTACTCTGGTATTACGACTCTTGCACTTTAGTATACTAATGTTGAGTTGATGTTTGTAGTACATAATGAACAACCGAGTTGCACTGCAGAGGAAGAAGTTTCCTCCTTTCTATGCGGACACTTTTGGATACAAGAAACACCTTTGGCAAGCAGAAAAGAGAAGAACTCACGAAAAGGTTAGATTGAAATATTTTTAGATCTTGTAGGCAATATACATTAGGATCAATCAAACCTGAGCATCCATAAACAAATTTTAAAATAATTATATGTAGTCTTTGTGAAATAGCAAATCTAGTCATGGATGCAGTAAACAAAAGGTGAAAACATTTATTTTTAGCATAACTGAGCAAAGGAAAGTATGGATTTTGCTCTTTGAACTACAAATTCTCAGCCAAAAACCATTACCGACTTAGTGGTTTACATCAAAAAAATTTGAATAAGTTGTTTACTCCACATATTCATTTTAATAAAATAGGCGAGTAGCCTTATCTTTTACTGAAACCAGCTGTTTCTTAATGCCAGCCCGTAAAACTTACTGTGGCTTACAAAACATTCAGAATACAATTTAGTGTAGACCATTTTATGAAAGGTGTTTTTGTGTTACAGTCAAAACTACAGATGATTGCTGACTACGGAAAGGTCCGCAGTTTTCTCGGAGAGAAATATCCGGAAGCACATATTGATTATGCTTTCAATAAATATCGAGCAGAGAAGAAATCAGGAGAACAGTAGATATTTTATAATGACTGTTACCATGTAAATGTAAATATATAATTCTTACTGTTTACAAGATTTTTTGTTCCTTACTCCAGGAAAGTTTATAAAGTATAAACATACTTGTAAATTTTTATTTTTTTCATATAAAACGTTTTATTTACAACAGACTTATATAACCAAAGCGATGAAAATATTACTGCAAAGTTATGAAAACTTAAGCTTGCTAATACAATGTTATTTCAACTTAAACACTTATTTTACGTTATTGTCCTATCCTGATCGACATACAATGAAACGAACCTAGTTTTTTTTTTGCTTTGGTTCTTTAGAGTTTATCATGGGAGTATCATACCATCATTTAATTTTAAAACACTAAGGATAAATTAATACTAAAAATTAGGAGTCGGCAGGACCGCCGGCCATCTTAGATTTTCTGCTCATAATTGCAATGTTAATGGTTGAAGCATGGCGTAAAAATATATAAAAAGTTGCAAAATATCTCCTTTTTCTAAGCTATTGAAACCGCAGATGTGATTTGCTATCTACTTTTTAGTTTTAATTGTTATTATTTTGTCAAATTTCATAAATATATTGACTTAAATTATGATTTTTTTTCAACCTCTAAAACAAAAGTTTTAAAAATACGAAAATCAATTCACATAGAAAATATATTTAATAATTACATAAAAATTTTTGCTCCACGGTGCATGATTAATAGGCTTCAAAGTGAACATATGTTTTTGTTGATCATCGTGGTGTTCATACAAAATAATGATGTATTTTGACAAAATGATAACAATTAAAATTAAAAAGTAGATAGCAAATCACATCCACTTTTTAGTAGATAGCAAATCACATCCGCTGTTTAGTAGATAGCAAATCACATTAGCTGTTTAGTAGATAGCAAATCACATCCGCTGTTTAGTAGATAGCAAATCACATCAGCTGTTTAGTAGATAGCAAATCACATCAGCTGTTTAGTAGATAGCAAATCACATCCGCTGTTTAGTAGATAGCAAATCACATCCGCTGTTTGAATAGCTTTAAAGTGAGATATTTTGCAACTTGATTAGTAACCGTGTTAAGTGACACATTGTGGGTAAAAGACGAAGAAGGAGGTATAAGGTATGAGGTACTTTTTATCTTAATAAACAATGCGGTAATATGCTTCAACCATTATTGCCATCATGGGCAGAAAATCCAAGATGGCCGGGGGTCCTACCGATTCTTAAAGTAGGCTACATTGTATAGAACAATATTAACCTTATACAAAATCTAATGAACATTATTTTAAAAATGAACACACTTGGTATGTTTATCGTACAGTGATGCTACAAGCATTCATGTTTTGAATGACTAACCTAACGCTTACGACTAGAGTGACTTATGATTTATTGTTCAGTATTTTTTCCTGTATGGCAAACTACCTCCGTATTACTACTTAAAAATTAAGGCACAGTAACATAATTAAGTCTTCCAGCCTCAATGTGTTTTTAATTAACACAATTCTACTGAAGTTGTTATTTCACAAAATTCAGTCCAAAAATAAGATTTGTAAATGAAAATTTATCTCTTTCAGGTGTAAAATTCTGTCATAAAATTAAATTCATAAATTTAAGTAACATTTACGCATAGTTAATTCACTCGCTAAGGGACTAGCTGTGCTTTCTCAGTGATCGAACCCTTCATGTACTTCATTTCGTTATTCATGGCGGACACTTTTTCAACATTGTAAATTGGCCGGTAGTTTCTATATTTGTTGAATGCAATGATCGCACCAATAATTAAAACTGAGATAATAATTCCAGCAATGGCAAAGATATAGTAAAACTTAACAGAACTCTCTTCCTCTTTTGGAGGCGTAGCATTTTTAATTCTTTCTAGTTCGAATTTTCGCTGTTCTAGCAGCAGCTTTTGTTGGAGCAGTTTTTCTTCTTCCCTCTCAGCGAGGCAGGGGAAGTTTTCGTGTCGGCCGGTCAAATCGATGTCCCAAAACACTATTTGCTTCCCGTTAAGCCAGACTGGTTCTTTACATCTGAAAAGTTAGACAATTGATTATTATTTTAAGGTTAGTTTCTTAGAACAACAATTTCTTAAAGAATGTATACTATTTTAACCGTACCATCAACACCATCACAAGGAGCGTTTCAAAAGTCATTTGATATTTTAACATTCCACATATAGCTTCTTCTTGTGATGCATAAGTTGATACGGATATTTCCTAAAGAGATTTAGCAGATAAATCTTTTCCGTTGTCTTTATTCTATGATAAATTGGTAGTCGCATAGCGGAAAATGTCCATGCTGGAAATAAATAAGAATTGTTTAGTTATTTACTTGATCTCTGTGAGCCGATCCACAGTGTTGTTTCTACTACGCAGAAGAATTGCCAGCCAGTGCAGACGACAATCGCAAACCCACGGATTCCCATCCAAGGTCACCTTCGACATTCGGAGCCATGGGAGAAGGTTCTTTCTCACTCTTGGAAGATTGTTGTTGTTCAAATACACCTAAAAATATGATAACATAAGTAATAAGTATCCTAAATGTTTTGCAATTTTAATGGTGAAGTTCTTTACATAGTTAAAGGTAGCACAACTGTGGGGAGCAGGCTGGCCTAGTGACAGAGTGGTGTACTTTGGTCACCAGGGTCTCTGGTTCAAATCCTACCAATCACCAATTAAATTATTATTGTGATAACGTGTAAGAATATCATAAAACCAAGTGGTGCTGTTGAATCTAATTTAAGTTTTGGGATTTTCTTAAGCCCTATTCTCAGTCATTTGCTATCAAAATATCAAGGTGTGTGAGCCTAGTGGCTAGCGTCTCAGACTTTTGCGTGAGGGAGACAGGTTTAATTTCCTTCATGTCCAAAAATATTTGAGAGATTTAGACTGATTCCCTTTAAACCAAAAAAATTCTTTTTGAGGAGAAAGTTTGTCTTGAAGTCTCCTTAACTAAGTAAAATCAACTCAACTCAAACTTAGTAACTAAGTGGTTTACAAAATACAATTATTGTTCTTTACCTCTTGAAGCATTGTCCGTTTCAAATCAAGTTTCCAAAACGCTTTCTCTTCTATTGTAACAAGTTGAGGATTGTACGTACAGCTGATTATTTTGATATTTTCTAAAACCGAGAAAGTTCCAGATCCGATCTTCGTTAGCTTTGGCATCCCTGAGATCATAATTTCATTGAGCCTGTGCAGCCCAGCGAATGAAGTGTCGTCCAGCTCTTCGATCGGATTCTGATTCATGTTGAGTACTCTAAGTGTGTTACCGAGAAGTTGAAGATCTGGTACTTGAGTGAACTGGTTCCCATTCAACAACAACGAGGTTAGATCCAGGCCGGAAAATGCGTCTTTGGGCAGTATTTTTAACTTGCATTCAGCAAGGCTCAATAACTGAAACAAACATTATTGAGAGGAAAGTATTTTTTTGAAACAATATTACTTGAAACTCAAAATTGGGTGAATTTTTCTACACACTAAATCCAAATGTACACCAGGGACACATTTTTAAAACAAAAGTTTACAAAAATCCAAACAACAGTTTTATGTTAGGCCTAAATATTTTAGGTTTTCAACAGTATGCTTGTGTTTACTATCAAATTTTTCCCTTAAGATGTCGGTAAAGATCAAAGAATGTTTTGTACCTGCGTTTAAAACACTTCCCATCTTAATTAGATTAGATGTATACAATAGTGAAACACCTATGTGTGTATAGTTTAGGAGAATATGGGGGTTGAATATGATATAGGAACAAGACTAGCTGCTCTAGCCACGACCATTTAAAACATCCATCGTGAGCTGAAGTTTCAATTTCTAGATCAAATACAGCTAGGTTCAGTTTCAAATCATCAAAGACTTCTGGTTTTTCTAACATAAACTGGGAACCTAAGGCAAGCACTCCACCTACCTTGAGTTCCGTCAGTTCCTGCAGCGCCTGGGAGAACTCCACCCCGATGTCAGTGATGGGGTTGTCGTCGAGGTATAAATCCCGTAGATATTGCAGGTGAGCCACAACATCAGGCTCTAGACTGCTGATGTTGTTGTGGCCGAGGTTGAGGACCCTGATGGGCAGAGGTTCGAATCTATCACCTCCCGGAGTCTTCTTGCCGACCAACACACCCTTTAGGCTGTCTCCTACAGCAACATTAAGGGAATTTAATTGTTTTAAGTAAAATAATTCAAGACAATGGATGAATACTAAATTTTTACAACAGTACGTGCAAGATTAATGCATGACCTCAATCATAGCTGAAGAAACATGACGAGAATAGTATTCAAGCATTGTGATGTCCAGAATATAGGTACATAAACAAATCACTTTCTGTACCAGTTATTCATTTCTGGATCTGGGTATTGATAAGTTTTCTTTATATTTCCTATTCTTACCTGCTTGACCATTTGACACCCTTCTCTACATCTCTCTTAAACTCATCCATCCTTCTTCTCTGTCTCCTTCCCTCTAGTACGATCAACTTAATTTTTCTTAAAAAATCACTCTATTAACATCTATTCAATCCGTCTTCCACTACGGCTCCTGATCTCTTCGTTCCAGCTCGACCCCACCATCTCTTACTTGTAAAAGCCCTTAAAAATCTTGTTCTGAATTCAAGGCCGGTCGGTATGTAAAAACAACCTGTGATGGTAAATTTCAGAAACATTTATTCAACACACTCGCCATTGCCATTGCAATATATCCTCAGGTAAAACCAACCAATTCAGTGCCCAAATTAAACCTACGAAAACTCAGCTAAATAGTTATACACAGTAACTTATGTCACAAAAACTGAATTTTTCAGTCACCTGAAATCCGATTGTAGCTCAAGTCCAAGTTCTGCAGATTCTCCAACCCGGTAAATGCAAGAGGTTCGATGTCTTTGATGCTGTTGTGGTCAAGGGTTAGAGTCAACACTCTCGGCAAAACTGGCAACACTGTCACCTTCTTGAGGTGATTGTGAGATGCATTCACTTTCTAAAAAAAGATAACGATAAAAAATTAGTTTGACGAATGTACTGGAAATTACACAGTAGATTTTAGTTAGTTGTTACGTTAATTGCAATGAGGGCATTCTGTACATGGACAAATATCATTTGTTAAAAGCCCAATGATCAAGGAAGCTGAGTCCAGTTAGATCCGTGAAAAACATTATTCTTTATACAGATTTGCAAGCTTAGTGGTTAACGTTTAAAAATTTATTTGCAGGAGGGATAAATTATCCACAAAAATCAAGGGTTCACACTGCTTTCCCATAAGTGTTGGCAATTCTTACTTACAAAATCCCACTAGCGCGTAGAGGATGAAAAACTATTGATAACTTCTAAAACAGTGACGTATGCATATGTGTGTATTTTAAGTTGAATGAACTGAAGATGAGCGAGATGATCTGTGTAGCTTTGTTACTGACTAATATCAGCTGTTTCTTTCATAATGATCAAAGCCAGCTGGGCCCAGTTTGAACCAATTTTACAGAATTGATCTGACAACCTTCTTTCTAATTACTATGAGAGCACAATCAAATTACACTATCCAGCCATCTATCTATCTATCTATCTATATATTAATAGGCAAGCATGTTTCTTTAAAACCTTTTTTCTCAGCTCGTGTGCATCGTAGGGAAAATCTACGCATACCGTTAGAAAGCTATTTTCCTGTAGGCGTGCAGAATCCCTTTATAAATTTAAATAGGCTCAAAGATAAGCACAAAAAATGAGTTTAAAGATTTGAAAAAATTAACATGGATCTTATGCGTTGCCATGCTGGTGACGAAATAACAACGAAATATAAACAGAAAATCAAAACAAATGGAAGAAACTCCAATCACATGTTTTATTTACAGTGTGGGGTGAAAATAGAGAAGTGAGTACATTACATATTTTTGGTCGAGTTTCGACCACTGGACGACCTCTCGTTCCTCTTATCATATGCGACAAAACGTTCAACCATAGAGAACTTTGTTGATATTTTAAAATTTTGAGCAAAAATATCCTATAAATATTTTTAGAATACAATTTATTATACTTATACAAGTTTTTTTGTCACTTAATTACTTTAGGTAATAAAGATTAACTTTGTATACTTCACAGTCAAGTATCTGATTATAGTCAAACAAAATAATGTACATAGAAACCTTTATCTCTGTTTATAGAGAAAAAGCTGTGAAAAATAAAGGCAAATGCTATGAGGTCAATTGGCAAAGAGATATGAGAGAATGGACACATGGTCAAGTAGGGACTTATTGTTTGCTTAATGAATTCACCAGCACTTGCGGTTAAACAAGGTTTGCACACACAGTTGATAAACACTTGAAGCCCTATGACTAACACTTTGCACACTCCTTTACTGAAGAATAACTTTGCATGCCTTCATTCTGCCAGATTTACATCTTTAAGACTATTAATTATTAATTACTGATCAGAGAATTTTCATTTGACTGATCATGTTTAAACAAAATATCCCAAGTAAGATTTTGATATTGTTCAGAAAACCCTCATTATTGACTGGGTTATTGAAAGTCTTATTGAATGAAATAAACTTGATATTATAAAGACAGTGCTATGCCTGCTTAGGTAGGTAAGTTACTGTACCTATTAAATGTACAACCAAACCCATTAACAAGAAAAGGCTGAATAGTGTATACTCAATTTAAGAATAGTTATTTGTTTAACTAGTGTGTGAAGTGGCACTTTGCTGCACATGAGAGAAATGTTAAGTCCCTGAAGTCCCGGGTTCAAATCCTGCCAATCACCTCTGAAGTGTAAAAAATATTTCCCAGACTAAACCCTAGGACCTATAGGATGTAAATTTGGGACAAAAAAAATTGTACCAGAATGTTCCCCACTTGTACATACCTGTAGAACGTTGGCCAGCTGGAAGAGCCAAGGTGCGAAGGTGGTGACTCTTGTAAGTCCCTGGTAGCCACAGTTGGCTTCCACTCCTCCATCTTCAATAGTGGTTGCTTTCCCATCCAAGCAGGCTACTTCTATATCCTTCTCCAGGGCATGGCTCCAGTCCACTCCAACACAGCAAAAGATCTAGAAGTAGAAAACACTCGATTAATGACAACTGCAAAGTACTGTACTTGGAATCATTCATTATATTACAATTTGTATCAGATTATTTAGGACTATAGGGGACTGCATGGTGGAAGGGAAAAACATAGGTTTGCTATTCCCGTCATATTATGCTAACGTCACTCAGATTGCAAACACCATTTCACCATTTAGAAACAATTATAATAGTATATTTCGTACCTAGGGCCGAAAATGAGGTTTTGCCGGCTCGAGATAGTTTTTAAATCGATCGAGAGCCGCAAAACCATTTCGGTCCGTGGTACGAACGCTATTTTTCACCACACTATACCCTATTACCACTATTCACCTTCACCATTCACCACAATAATAATGCACACTGATAGTCAACACAACTACAACTTTAAGGTTATGTGAAGAAATAATTTGAGGAATCAGCAAAAATAAAAATATATAGTTGCTAGGCAACGGTGACAATAACACAATTCTATTGAAATGCTATGGATTTTGATTATGTATTTAAAATGCATTCATGTTTTAAGTAAGTAAGCGGACAGCTGATTTTGCGGCCCCGGCCTGTAAAAACCTGCTCGGTCCCCAAATTATGGACAGCTGGCATCGCCAGCAAAACGTAACTTTCGGCCACCAATTAACGTATGTAATACAGCCAAAAACATGATAGTGTGGTGAAAAAACAATAACAATCAAATCAAAATACATATATACTTATGTTAATATAATCAGGTGATTTTTTTTTTGCAATCTGGGTGATGTCAGTATATGACGGGAATTTTGTTTTAACATTTTATTTTATTTACAATCTGTTCAACAAAAATATTAACAATAGGCAAATATGATAAAATTTAAATACAGTACAGTAGTTAGTTCTTTATCCAACAATAAAGCTAACACACAAACTTGGCATATTGGTACGAAGTTTTAAGTCCATAAATTCCTAAAACGACAACTTAGGTCCAAGACATGGTATCTTTTCAATCTATATACACAGTTGCTGTTGTCCAATAAATTTAAAGCAAGGTATTTAGTATGGTACTCTAATTTCTTTAATTGACACTTAACCTTGAAATTTCTTCTTTTACCGTTGGGGTTCGACTGTCCCTGTGAAGCACTTCGTTATTAACAAACCATGGTGCCTGGAGAATGTACCTTAAAACCTTGGATTGGAATCTTTGGATGACGTTCAGATTTGATTCACTGGATGTCCCCCACAGTTGGATACCATACGTCCACAATGGTTTTGTATAGTTTTGGTTGAATCGTTTTATATAAAAGCAATTTAATTTCTGTTGTTAATTTTGAATAGCACACCTATGTGTTTTCCTTCCACCATGGAGGACCGAGCCATGGCTCAGTATAGTTTTAATTTCGATTGTAAAATCTATATAAGGAAACTCACGTTTTTTACAACTAATTTTGAATTCTATTATTTAAGCTCCAGTGGAATTTTAATTTATTATGAATACAGCTGTCCAAATAATGTAAACTACAAAAAAAGAGTGCATAAAAATTGTAAATCCACCTTTAAACCAAAGTGAAACATTGAGTTGACGCCAGTGCACTCAAACTGCACCAATACAAAACAATCATCACTCATCAACACCAATAAATACAAAGGGTTTGTATCCATTGTCAACACAGACTTGCTCCATTTTACCTATATCGAGTAATCTCCAATGTAATATTTGTCAATAGTAACGACTCATGTTGTTTATCACTTTACTGTACTTTATAATTTTGCTAGTATACTGTGGATGACTTGTTATATCATATGTTTCAAGCCTTTTGTTTACTTTTACTTGTTATTTTGTTCTACCAACATAGTTACTTGGCAAGCCTATGTGAAATTTTGAAATGTTCAAATTTGTTGTGTAGCAAAATACAAATTTTCCTGCGGTAGTGGCAGTCAGTCACGTCCCCATCATCAAGGACAGCTAAGACCCATCGTAAGTAATCACACATTGGACATTGTTTTTTGAAGCAAGTAAAAATAGGCTATAGACATCTTGTTGATCCTTTGAAAAGCTATAAGCCTAAATAAAAAGAAAGCGTTAAGTAAGAATAATTTGCTTGATCAACGTGGTTGAGGAAGACATAACTTACAGTAAGTAACGAATAAGAGGACCCATCTGCCCAGTTTTGTGTATAGACCATAGACGCCTAATCCCTGGAACAGTTGAATTGGAAAAGGACGCAAGTTCTGGGACGACCAATTGATTATTTGCCTGTCACTGGTTAGATCATACATTAAAGAGTAGGCCAATCTACTCTTTAATCTATGGTTGAATGAAGTGCGACTGGCGTTCCTCATCGCTCACAATTAAGGTGTCAAGGAAGTCTAAAGGGAAGTAGCAATACACGAGATCGTCTGCAGTGAAATCACGTGACCACTTGACCGCTACAACATCTTATTAATGAAATATCCACGCATGTAGACTAATTATTTTTCCCAGGTGAATTTAACAATCGATCAAACATATTGATTAGTCTAAGTTATAGTTTAGAGATTTAGATTTAGAGTGCCTCCATTTGATACATTGTGTATTTTAATTTTGTCAGTAAACACCGGTATGGCTGATGTATTTCTCTATAGCAATTTCGTATACAGCAAAACCAAAAATAACAATTATTATTAGCATAGGTTTCATTGGGAGCGAGTCAACGAGTTCATCGTCTGAAATCATCAACTACCTTCACAATCATCCACGAACAAAGCAATACAGAATACGCAACAATACAATACGACGCGGAATGCGGCAATACAATGGTCACCCACACGACCAAGTCGTCGAGCGAGAACGACTTCGGTCTCAAAGAAAAGTTGCGACATGGTCATAAATATTTCCCCGCCCGTTTCTCCCACCTTGGCGCCTGCAGGCGAACATAACCTCAAAACAGCAGACGACATAACTGCTGAGCATTGTGCAGTAGCAGGCCACACACAGAACAGCTGTTTGATAGTCTTGGCTGAAACAGATGGATGGCTGAACGAAATGTGTCTGGTGGAGTGTTTTGTTTATTTCTGGGCCCGTTTGAGAATCTGCCTGCGTCTCGGATAACTTTTGTCCCTGTTTAGAATGCAGCCAAATTATTAATCTAGGTACATTAGAATTTTTCTCGTGACGTGGCTTTGTTTTATTACATTATTTTTTGGTAATGGTAAGTTTGTTTCAGGGATTTATTGAGGATATTTTGCCATCACGATTGTTTTAAAGGGTGTTTACCGGTGTTTACGACGTTTCGACATAACCCCAGGCAAGAACAATCTAAAAAAATAACTATGTAAATACACAAGTCCACAGAAAATTAGTAAATCACCAAAGAAAACAACATAGAGTACTGTATAGTGTATAGCTAGCGTATAGTGTATAGCTACTGTATAGTGTAGTTCTGAAGTAAAAAAACCATTAAAGAAAATAACATACAGGGTGGTAAAAAAGTCCCTGGACAGTTAAATATTTTAAAAAATAATGCAGATAGAGCTACAATACTTGGTACAAAGTTACAGGGCATAAAACTCTATTTTAACACATATTCAGTGATCCAATAACTCTTCAGGGGGACGGCCCACAAGGAGTCGGAAGAAAATCTTAAATGGAAGCATAGGTCAATATGCACATCAAATTAAAGGTCTTTTTTAGTAGAATACAATGCCACAAACCGCACTTCAAAAGGTTGACCCTGCACAAAATGACAATTGTTCAAAGATTCATTTAATTTACATTGCTAGAGGGGGCACAGCCCTAGGAATCGGAAGAAAATTGTTAACGTAAGCATAGGTCGATATGCACATCAAATTAAAGGTCTTCACTAGTAGATTACGATGCCGTAAATTCAAGCTCAAAAGAATGCCTGGGTAAAACATGGCAGTCGTTCAAAGATTCAAAATGGCGGATTCAAGAAATCTTTGAACATCTGCCATTTTGCGCAGGATCAACCTTTTTTGAAGTGCGGTTTGCGGCATTGTATTCTACTAGAAGACCTTTAATTTGATGTGCATATTGACCTATGCTTCCATTTAAGATTTTATTCCGACTCCTTGTGGGCCGTCCCCCTGAAGAGTTATTGGATCACTGAATATGTGTTAAAATATAGTTTTATGCCCTGTAACTTTGTACCAAGTATTGTAGCTCTATCTGCATTATTTCTTTTAATATTTAACTGTCCAGGGACTTTTTTACCACCCTGTATAATAAACACACACAAATTCTTTCTAGATTTTTGTTTCTTGTGTTTTACTGTTTTTCTAAAACACAATTAATTAAATCTCAGCCTTGCCTGGGTTTTGTAATAATTTGTAATATTTAGTGTACTTTCACCCAAATATCTTGTCTGGTCCCTGATCCAGAAACTTCATGAAACGATTTTTGCGTCTATCACTACGGTATACATTAGGCACTTCCCTTTTCCCTATAGGGTAATTCGCTAAAAACAACTTACAGCTATTGCTCATATGAGGAGGCTGGCTACTGTTTACTCTTCAATGCCCGATATTCAAAGAGTTAGCAATCAATCTGCTATGAATGGACATTTTGATATATAAAACTGCGATTACGTCGCCCAATTACGTTCAGATATGACAAGCCATCTTTTGAACCCTCGAAAACAACTTCTGTCTGTACGCAGGCTGCGGATATGTCTCTTGATCTAGAAGTTGAATCTTTTGGCTTTCACTCAAACTCTGAGAGAAGTGTCATGAAGTGTGCTGTTTACTAACATCATAAACATCGTAGCCATCGTGGTATATCCGTCTCCAGCATTATAAACAGTGTCGCGACCACAAGCAATGTGTTTGAAAGATAACATCAGCACGATTTACATTTGAATACTGGAATTGCTGTTACCATGATCAGCTGACTATAGAGTCTTTGTTGTTCATTGTTGCCAGGAAAATAAATGTGGTTTCTTTTATAGTTTTAAGAATGAACAGTCTTTATTTCATATGTTTTTGTGAATGTGTATGGCTTCAACATTGTAATAGTTTA